GAAGAGAAAGGAGAGAATCTGAGACAGATTGTTGGCGATGTATTAGCTCCCTTGGCAGAGATGACATCAGATCAACTTCAAAGCGAAATCGATACGGTCCATAGATCGTATACAGAATTTATCAGAAAGAATAATCTGCCAGGGGAAATTACAATAAGATTCTTCCGAAGAAAAATGAGAGATCAGCTATTGAAAGCATCTAATGGAGCGACCTTGAAGATAAAAGACAAAGACATAAGATTAGTGAAAGATATTCCATTTGAGATAAGAAAAGAAGGAAATACAGAGACTTGGTTTTATTTCTACAAAAGCACAATGTCTGCTACAGATGGCTAACACCCGAGGGATTAATCTTTACATATGCAAATAGAAAGAAAGGATTGACTCTGTTGAAAAGGGTTGTGAGTTTTTGCGTCAACATAGCAGCCCAGGAGGAGAAGGTGCGACCGATGCTACCAAAGAAAGCGAAGAAGGAGAGGCTGGAACTTCCGAAGAAGACTGACTAAATTGGGGGCTGCTGCCCCCAAATAAATGTATGATCACCATCTCTTGGGTTTCTAGAGGGTTTTCTTTACTTTCTCCCTTAGACTGTAGTTTCCCTTTCCTAATTTTCTGTTTGTAGTTATTAGAAAATCAATAAAAAAATCCCCTTCGGAGGGCCAAAAAAAAAAAGATCTGGCAGCCCCAACCATGGTTTCCCATTTTTAAGCCTTATGGTATGATCGTTCCTCTGTCCTCCTTCCCTCTCGGTTTGGCTTTGGTACACCTTCTATATCTGTTTTTCTCAGGCCTCCCCAGTGTGGTGCCTGTGGGCGCCATTCCACCCACCAACTCTTTTTCTAGCACCCTTCAAGCGTTTTTAGGAAGTGGGCGGGGCCAGGTAGGACTTTTGCCTCCAGCAAAGCTTCTAATTGGCTATTGGAAGTTTGATTGGTTGCACAGATATTTTTAAATGTTGCTTTGGCAGCAGCTGTACAAGGATCTATGGCTACGCTGTGTTACTGAAGTTAACCTGTGGCAATAATTATTTGGCTGGCTCTGCCTCCTGCAGCGGCCATTTTTGTGGCAGCCATTTTGTTGCTGAACCTAACATGCCATGTAGGGTTGCCAGACCCCTGGTCCCCATGGGGGTTCCCCTGATTTTCAGGGCTTTAGCCTGCCACCGGCCAGCTGGCCAGTGGGGGAAGCCCTGCCCCCAAGCATGACCACCAGGTCCATAGCTAAGGTGGGGTTTTTGGGGATTCCACCCCCTTTCTTAAAGACATACCCCCACGAGAATTTATCCTGTAAATGCTTTTTTCAATTATTTAAAACATTTTTTAAAAGACGTGTGCTCCTTTAAGCAGAGTGAGGTGCTGTGGTTGACTAATTCCCAACCTGAGCAAGGGGGTTGGAGTAGGTGACCTCTAGGATCTCTTCTAACTCTGTGTCAAGAAACTGGCCTCCTTTAAGAGAGTTTTGCTGGCTAAGTATTAGCTTTCTTGACTCTAGAAGTCATCACCCCCACCTGCTGGCTTGTTATCAGAATTGCTGCTTAGGCTGGCAGAAGTGATTAACTTGCAGCAGCTGAGAACTGTCATCTAAAGTGGTTGACAGCTTGCAAGTTAGAGCTCTATCCTGGTAACAGCTTTCTGGTGTCTAAATTGCTTTCTGCACTGAGAACTTCAGCCCTACCAGAAAATAATTTGCCCTACAAGTCACAAAATCCTGGCTAGGGGCCTGATGACCACCCACAGCCACCCTTCCCTTCTCTCCAAAGATAATAAAAGGGCCCGCCAGCTGATCGGAGGGTAGCAGGTGGCCCACCAATCAGCTGGAGGGCCCTTTAAATCTTGCAGGAGTGGAGGGAGGGGAGCGGCTGCAGCCACATGCCTGAACTCCAAGTGGGGATTCGCTGTTTGGAATTTAGGCACGTGCAGCTCCACTGGGATCTTTAAATGCTTTTGGCCAGCAGGGGCCAGGCCTCACGTGCCTGAATTCCAAGGCTTTTTGAGCCTGCTGGCAGCTCTGAAATTCTTTTGATACAGGGTGGTGGGTGCAGCCACATAGGAAGCACAGCCAGCCACAAAATGTCCACTGCAGCTAACCTCCAATCACACAGTGAAGAGCCTTGTGCTATGGTGGTGGCTGTTGCTAAAGTAAAATTTTTAAAATTTGCATAGCCAATCTCCAATAGTCAATCAGAAGTCTTGCTGGACAAAAGTCCCGCCTAATCCCACTAGGGATGCCAGCCTCCAGGTGGGGCCTGGGGATCCCCTGGAATTACAGCTCATCTCCAGACTACAGAGATCAATTCCCCTGAAGAAAAAATGGCTGTTTTAGAGGGTGGCTTTGCACTTTGCTGAGGTCCCTGTCCTCCCCACGCTCCATCCCCAAATCTCCAGGAGTTTTCCTAACCTGGTTCTGGCAGCCCTAGCCCACCATCCCTTGCTTGTAGCCAGGGGGGACCTGGCAACTCTACGCCCACCTACTTCCTGAAAGCACTTGGCAGACGCCAGAAAAAGTGTTAGCAGGGACCATGGCCCCCACAGGCACCATGCTGGGGACCCCTGGTTCACACAGAGGCAAAAAGGCTCCTCACCAAGGCTACTTCAGGTCAGGAAACTGGTGTTAGTGAAAGGTTTAAACCAAGGGCCCCCCAATGTTTTTGAGCTTGTGAGCACTTTAGAATTCTGAGTCAGCACGGGGGGCACAACCACAAAATGGCTGTTGCAGGGGGCAGGGTTGCCAGCCCCCTGGTCCGGGTAGGGGTCCCCCTGTTTTTGTGGGCTCCTCCCTGCCCACAAATGCCCCCCAAATGCAGTGCGATGATATCACCTGGAAGTGATGTAACCACACTGCCGACATGACTTATGGTGGCACTGCTGAAGCCCCTCCCCTCCCCAAACCCCGCCCCCAAAGCCTCCAGGTATTTCCCGACCGAGACCTGGCAACCCGACGCTTCAGGCGGGCAGCCGTCTCGCCCTGCCGGAGCAGAACAAACCCCGAGCTTTAATTTTCGTTTCCGCCATTAATACCAAGCTCTGGCAGTTGAACGCCTCGATTTCAAATATTCAAAGCCGCAACCTCCGTTGACGCCGCTCATCCCGCGCTACCTCCGAGCCCCGCCGCCCTGCGCAGCCGCACTGACGGCCCAGCCTGCCAAGGCGCTTCCCCCCGTCACGCCCCGCCCCCTTGGCCGTCTTGGGGAGCCACGCGGAGCCGTCCTGGCCACGTGACCGCGCGAGCCTCCCGTCCTCCGGCGACGGCGACGTGCGCCGCCGGCCTCGTTCTGGCCTGGCGCTGACGTCAAGCTGAAAGTCCTCTATCCCTTGCCTTGGAGGCCTCTCCACGCCCCTCCTTCCCCCGTTTGCTCCTCCGCTTCCTTTTTCCGCCGGAAGCGAGGGAGGAATTTCCTTTTCCGGGTACGGGTCCCCAGGCGGAGAGAGAGCGAGAGCGCTTGAGCCCCTGGGCGCAGGACGGAGGGAGAGAGTGACGGACGGCGGCGGGAGGAAGGAGAAGCGGCGGCGGCGCGTGTCATGGCGGAGCTGGCGCAGGGCCCGAACGCGGCGCCCGTGGGGGGGATCAAGGCCGAAGGCTTCGCCGACGCGCTGCACCGCGTCCGCCAGGTGAGGAGGAGGCCGCGAGGCCTGGGAGGGGGCGGGGATGTCAGGCCAGGCTGGGCCGCCTCCCTCGGGTAGCCCGGCTCGGGGGCTGCGAGAGGCCAAGGCGGGACGCGGCCTGATTCCCTCGCCCCTTCTGTGGTTTAAACCCTGAGAGAGGGGAAGATGGCTTCGGCCTGTTCCCCACCCCCGAATGAGTTTCTTTAGGGACAGGAGGACGAGCCCTGGGCTCTCTCGTCTGTGCCACAAACTCTCCTCTTGGCCTTTTGCAGCCGCTGCCTCTTGGGCTTCCTCTTTATAAGAATGCGCTGCCATAACTCTGCACAGCAAAATAATACGATATTTATCTAGCATGTGTTTTTTTTTGTTAATACTTCTGACTCTTCCAGGAGCAGAGGATGGTGGACTTGGCCTTTTAGCCTCACTGCAACAACCCTGCAATGTAGATCGAATTGAAGTCCTGTAACTGGCACAAGGTCATCCAGCAAGCTTCTATGGCAGCGTGGGGGTTTGAATCTGGGTCTCCCAGATCCTTGTCCAACACTGTAACCATTGCGCTGTGCCGGCTCTGTGTTACACCCCGAGCATTTTGACTAATGAAAGTGCTTGTGTGTAAATGTCAAGGTTGCCTTTACTTTGGACACCCTTATTGGATTTATTTTAAGTATTTAGAGTGGAATTGTTTATTCTGGCTGGCATCAGCTCTCGGGTATTAAAAGGTCTTTCCTGGCATCTTTTGCAGTGGTGTTCTAGAAACCAAAGCTTTCATCTCCTGCACATGTAGCAAGTGCTTTTACTGGTCATCCATGGGTTTGGCTTATATTGAATCGAGTGACTGGTCTGTTTCATCTAGTACTTTCTGCTCTCTGAGAATTCTGATTCTTGCTGCATAATGAATTTAGGTGGAGATGCCGCAGGGTAAACCTCAGACCTATATGCACAACATCTGGTATTGCAAGATCTGTACCACTGAACTCCTAGTAACTGTCTGCCTAATATAGAGTTCAGACCGTTGGTCCACCTAGCTCAGAATGATATGTGCCAACTGGCTGCAGCTTCTTAACACCTGCCGCTTGACCCCATTTAATTGGAGAGGCTGGGCCTATCTGGTACAGTGTGCCTAATCTGAAAGCATTTCTCCATTGCTTAATATATTGATCTTTTCTAATAGCTGATATATGAATAGGGAAGGCTCACCTAAGATCCTAGAGAGTCAGTGCCTGTCAGAGTAAACAGTACTGACTGTGATAGACAATGCGTAAGGCAAACCCATGTAATGTTAGACCTTTTAACAGGGGGTGCCAGGGATTAAACCTTGGTGCTCTGTCTCTGAGCCACAGCCTTGTTTCCCTTAGGAGTTTTCTCTGCTTGCTTGGGAAGGGAGAAGAAAGTAAGGAAATCTTTGTGCACCCTGTGACACTGTGTGATGGGAATAGGCACCCTTTTTGGACCAGATGCTGGACAAAAGCAACATCTGACCTCAGAGGGAAGCTGCCCTGCTCTGGAAGGTGCTGGCGCTTACAAGCTGTACCTGCCAGTTCTCTGGTACGGTGCTGGTCAACCTAGTTGCTGGGGGTTGTCTGTTCCTGGTTTATGTCAGTCTTCCAAACTAAAACCAAGAGAAAGCTGTGAAAAAGGTGCTCTTGGGTTCAAATCCTGCTTCAGCCATGGTCTCATTAAGTGGCCTCAGATTAGTTAATGGGTTCCCAATCTTTTTGAGCCTGTGAACACCTTTGGAATTCTGACACCGCCACAGAATGGCAGATCCAGACACACACTAGCAGCTGTGACTTACCTTCATCCACAGAGATCCTTGTGCTGTGAGGGCAGCTGCTGCCAAAGCAACATTTTTGCTCATCTGCACTGCCAGTCAAATCTTCAGTGGCCAATCGGGGGCCTTGCTGGGCAAACCCCCCAGGTTCCACTTCTTTTGTAAAACTACTTGGCTGGTGCCAGGAAAGGTGTTGGTGTACACCATGGCACCCGCAGGCACCGTACTGGGGACCCTGGATTGGCTGCTCTTGAGTTCTGCACCTCCCGCTCCCCCAGTATGGTGGTGGAAAGTGCCATCAAGTCACAGGTGAGAGATGTTCAGAGGTGGTTTGCCATTGCCTGCTTATGTGCAGCAGTCCTGGACTTCCTTGTTGGTCTTCAATCTAAGTACTAACCCGGACTGACCATGCTTAGCTTCTGAGATCTGAGGAGGTTGGGCTAGCCTGGACCAGACGTGGAAAAAAAACCCCTCCCCCCAGTGTAAGAACAATTATAACTTCCTTTTCTTATGAGGTTCTGATAACGGTGACTGATTAGTCCGTTACTGAAATACTCCAAAGCCCTGCACAAATACAGCATGATTGCATTTGCAGATAATGTTGAACGTCAATTCCCTCTCAGTAATTTTGGGGGAAATAAGAATTTTCCATCTCCTCAAATCTTGCTAAAACAATCCTGTCTGAGAAAGTTGAGGCTTCCATTTCCTGTGGTGGGACCATTGCCCTTTTTACAGTAATTCTTGTTTTAGATGGGAATGCAGTGGTCTGGCGATCTGTTCACTAATGGTGGAGCTTTCCTCCGGTGCAAGAAGCCTTCTACAAGTGACTGATATCAGCAGAAGGCTTCTTCCTGCAGAGGGAGAGCATTGCCTTTAGTGGAATGTGGCTACAGAGAGTGCAGGCAACACTCTGCCCTCCTTGAAGTTTTTCTCCTTTTGCAGTGTTGTAATTCTCACAGGAATGATGCATCATCTCCCACCCTCTCTTTGCATGGTCTTTTTGCCTGCTGGAAATTCTGTGCCCCTGTTTGAAGCGTCCACAGGAAATTCCTGTGAAAAACCTGGGAGTTTTCTCTTGCTCTTTTGCACGCTTGTCCTCGCCAGTTACCCTGATGTGTTGCTTTGGGGATCCCTTTCTGCTGGAGGGAAGAACACGTGAATGAACTTGCTGTAAGAAGACGAGACATATTTTGTGAGATTGGAATGATTACCGTTGTGGTGTGCCGTAATAATGGCTGACATCTCCCGATCTGTGAGAGTGCTTGTGTAGATTCTGCTCGCCCATAAAAGAAATGTAATTTGGCTTCTTAGTCATCTTCCAAGTTGTAAACTGGGATGGAGCTAGTCTCTAAAGCTGAAGAGTCATTTTTCCGTAGTTCAGTGGACCAAGCCATCCTGATGAGTGATAAAAAATTCTAGTGGATCTGTCAGCTTAGCCAGCTTCTTGCTAGTTACTGTAGATTGTGGCATTTTTTTGCCTCACTCTGGTTTTGGATATCTTGAGACTTTTTCCAAACCAAGCTTCCATGTAGTCAGAAGCCTCCATCTGACTGTAATAGCAGTTGGTTTCAACACAGTTGGTCTGTCAGGGTTAGTGTTTTTTGCTCTGCAGGGCAGCATCTATCCAGGGTTTCAGGCAGAAGTCTTTCACGTCACCTACTACCAGTAATGTGAAACTTTTTCCAAAATGGAAGATTTTCATCCCCTCATGTGTAAAGAGAGTCTGCTTATCTGTAGGTGTGCTGCAGAAACTTCATGTTAGATGGGCTGAATGCGGGATGTTTAACAAGGACAAACCTCAGTGCTGACACATGGTGTGGTAGCCTTCTTTCTCTAACGTTATTTAAATGTAGCTGACATTGTTTAAATATTTAAATTTGAATTGGAAAATTTCTTGTTTCAAATTTTCCTGCAAAATCCATGTCACCGCCTACAACCTGGTCCTTTAATTGGGAGATGCTGTGGGTTGAACTTTGGACCTTTTTCGTACAATGCAGATGCTCAGCCTACTGGTCCATGGCTCCTCCTTGTGTTTTTAACAGATGACAGTGTCACTTGGGGAACCCTGTTGTAGTCCCTTTTCAGACTATTCTCTCTGTGTCCCTGACAGTATCTGAATTCTACTTCCTGCAGTCGAAAGGGGAAAAGGAAGTTGCATCAGCTTTGAATGTTTGCCTCTGTTGTGTGAAGAAAGCTTCAGGTGTGGCTGCAGGATAGGTGGCTCTGAGGAGAGACTGGAGTAGGATTCTCTGGCTCAGGAGCTCCTTTCAGAATCAGTTGCTGCTGTAGCCTTCCTGAGCAGGGCCATGGAGAGGCAGCATATAAATTCTCTGAATTATGTAGAGAAACAGATTTCTGACTACATGGTTTGGTCTGTGATATGAGCTGGCTGCTTGCTGCTGGCATTTAGCTGTGTCAGTCTTGGGCGGGGTTAGAGGACTGCCTCATTCACTTAGCAGGGCTCTCAGACGGTTTCTAAAAGTTGCAAAATGTGGATCTTCATGCATATAAAGTTTCTTGTTCTATAAAATCTGGTATCAGCTTCCGCACTGGAGATTATAACGATAACATTACTTGATTCCTTTGCACTGTATGCCTGGTCTCTAAGCCTGTTATTGTTGTTAGGTGTATAGTGCTGTCTCTAATAGCAGCATGTTAGTTGTAGTCTCTTCCGTTAAGCAGGAGAAAGTATTGTCAGCTAAAGCATAGCCTTCCAAACTTAGGAGGCTGCATTAGTTTTTGCAAGTAACATCAATCCAAAGTGTACTCTTGAGGGCTTCTCCTTTACTACATAATGCTGTCCATGGGCCAGTACTCTGTCCATGGACCACTTCATGCCAGGCCCTCCTGTCTTCCGTCGTGCTCTGGAGTTTGCTTAATTTAAGGTTCGTTGCCTCGACAACACTGTCTAACCATCTCATCCTTTGCCGTCCCCTTTTTCTTTGACCGTCAATCATTCCCAGCATCAGGGTCTTCTCCAGTGAGTGCTCCCTTCTCATTTGGTGGCCAGAGTATTTAAGCTTCAGTATCTGGCCTTCCTGGGAACAGTCATGGTTGATTTCCTTTAGGATTGACTGATTTTGATGTCCTTGCAGTCCAGGGGACTCTCAAGAGTCTTCTCCAGCACCATAATTCAAAAGCATCTATTCTTCGGCGTTCAGTCTTCAGTTTTTTAGCCTCTGACTCACACATTTTTGCCTTAGCTCAGGAAGGATGGCTCCAGAGGAAACTAATT